CAACGAACCGGTAGTTACAAATAGGCGTAGAGCTAAGAGGGGCAGACCTAAAAAGGTGGATGGTAATGATGGTGATGTATTAGCTAATCGTACTTCTTTCAGAGTCGAGGTTGCAGACCCACGATTCGACCCGCGCCACCTACTGTATCCTTGTCGATGCGGAATATTCAACACGAGAACTCAAGTTGGCCTGCCGAGGCTCCGCTGTGACCTGGCCCGGTCCAAGCCAATGAAGAATTTATTTGAAATGGCCAACGTAGCGTCGATAACGCTACACCCGCACTGGGGAGACGAACGCAAAGAAACAGAGTTGCTGACAAGGACTCAAAATATTTGACGACTTACGGATTAGCAACCGCGATACACGCGCACAGCAAATTCTGCTATGAGCTCGCTTCTGCCGTGACGGAAAAAGAGGACGTCGAGTTGTCGTATCCGCCGTTATTCGCTACAAATCCGGGTTTTGACATCGAGCTCTACTACAGAATGGCGATGGCACGAAGATCGCAAATAAGCACGGAGTCGACGGATGATATGAACGGAAATCCCATAATGGTCGCTCTCCCCAAACAGTTTGCCAGAGTGATGACTGACCTTTTGGAGCCCGCAACCGTAAAATTCATGGTGTATAGCCACTTCGGAGCTGGCGGAGCAGCTCCAAAAACAAAGTATTTCATCTGCCCTTGTCTGGGTGTGGCCGAATGAAGTTCCAAACACGCAGCATATGCTCCTCGTACAGCATGCTGTGGAAAGACATCTTCGATGTGGCGGGACGATTGAGTTGTTTCCACCTCCTTTCGAAATGAACAGGGAATCTGAATGGATACTCATCGGAAGAGTCTATGAAAAAATGGCAGAGCGTTATCTGGGCCTGCAAGAGGGTACGAGGCAAGAATAGTCGATTTTTACAGCACCATTGGTGAAGAAATTCCGATAAAACATCCCGCAATAAGTCTCGGAATCCAGTCCGGAAAAGGCGAAGACAGACTCATGCCATGGCAATGTAAAATATTTTTAAACCAGATCGCCGACATCGCTTCAGCTGCGCACAAGATGAAGCAAAAAAATCGCTGTCGGATACGCAAGCCGTCGGGGTCGGCTTCCGAAAAGGGGGCGTGTAAAGGATGGACTCCAACACGGTTCCTCCAAACTAACGATCCACCTGTGTTAACTGTTATCGCACTGTTATTGTTATCTAGTTCGGGTTCGTGATCACTCTGCTGATCAATTTTCTGACCACACATCTACTCCCGCGCAATCAGTTTTGGCGCGCTCAGGATTCCTATATAAGTGTTAATTAGGTCGCTTCGTGAGTTCATCTACCAATTCATCTACCACGCGGATTGTTCGTCTCTGAGCAGCACCTATTTATTGTACTGTTACGCCAATAAAGTGTGAGTTTAATCTACCATTTACCCACACACACACCGGAGCACCCTAAGCTCTATTACACGTGAAATTTAGATAGAGTGTAATGTAATCGTGACTGTTGAAATCCAAAGAATCATGCTTCCATGCATTAGAAGATATCATTTTTGGAATCTGCATTAGAAGATATCATTTTTGGAATATATACGTTCGTATGGGCAGTTGGGGATGCGGGGCATAATAAAGGAGGTGAAACCTGTAGCTTTTTAAAGCTGTAGTGATGTATACGAGAAATTCGCACAAATTCAATACTGGAGGCGAAGACAAGAAATGTGCTCGAGCTCAAAAAGAAGTTAAATGAACAAGATAATCTGCTTAAGCTCAGAAGAGTATATAGGTCGTCAGCCTTTCGAACTTGTAGTGGTGATTAACACTTATTAGAGGTGAGGACAAGAAATTGATACAGTTGAACATTTTGATTCATAAGTACGAAAGTTGCAGCATATCGATGCTGGAGAGAGGGGCAAGAGGAAACCGCGCAAGTTCAACACAGTGAGGCTCTCAAGTCTCAAGTCTTCTGGCGTTAATCAACCCCGTCTAAGGGATGCGCCTCCACATTCGACTTACATTTGGAATCGTACTGGCATAATTAATGCGTATGTGGCCTATACAATGATTTGCGATGATCCAGCCAATGTATTAGCTTTATCAGTGCTTTTATCCTCCCAAACGAGTCTGGTACAGTGATGGTAAGGATGAGAAATCTGCATAAGTTCAGCAGCATAGATAAATGGACGAGGAATCTGCACCAATTCAATGCTGGAAATGAGAACTTTAATAGCTGGGCATTCTTCGATTCAAAAACGCAAAAGTGGCAGCACTTCGAATCTGTACAGGATAGTTGTGGTCTCTATGTATTCCCACTTTGTTTTTACTCAGACAGCACGGACTCTAGCTCAATTCATACATGTTTGGGTTAGTTGGCCCTTTGCCTACCCAATCCAACTGAGCTCCTGACTTATTACTCTTGTAAAACTCGTATCGCCTATGTCCGGTGTCCTTGAGCGGATTTTCATCCTCACCACCAATATTAGTGATCCGATCCTTGTACCCCTAAAAGTTTTTAGCGTTCATAGTCCAAGCGAACAGTTTTTGCGTACACTTCCTTCAAATCAATGAACGTAAGACATGACGGCATCATGAACAGTTACAACATCCCTTGCTTGCGACAGACAAATGAGAATAACCACAGAATTGCTACAATCTCCAGAAAGCCCTTCAATGTATATTCACGAAGGACTCAGACTCAAGGACAAGCCGTCACGCTTATCCATTCCTCAATCAATACCGTCTCTTGCAAGAAGTTCTGCATTTCTTTGTATAAGTAACTTCTTTATATTACGTATGAAAACACTCATCCGAAGGAGAAGCAGAAAGCAACGTTGAGGTCCAGAAACTCGTTTTGATTTTCGCCTTGAAGTAGCACTGAAAACGAGCACTAGCGAACACTCCGGTTCAGATGATATGCCCATACCATTTCGGCCACCGTTCAGTTTTCGGAGAGGGTGGCGCTACTTGTGGCTCTGGCGATGCTACTTTGTTAGTTAAAGCACAGTCCATGATGAAAACGGCTTCTCAGATTCCTTCCTAGGATAAACTTGACAACCAAGGTTAGCCAGGGGGTACGCTACGGGCTCGAAAAACAGTCAAGAAAGGGCCCAGAAAAGGCTTAGCCGACGTACACAATCAAAAGCGGACGGGTTGTCAGGCGTTGTAAAAGTTGTAGAGGCTGCACCATTTTCACCTGGGTCCACACATTGCGCATGGCAGCCAGTTGTAAGCAATGGCATGAGCGTTCGAACAGTTCGCCCAAATACGCCCTCCATGCACCTTTTATCGTAACATTCTCGTCCAACCTCTAAATTCGCTATTTCTTTGAATACTTACATTTTTCTAAATACGGTAATTTTAGTGTTTTCTTTGCCACTTTTGCACCATTCTGGATCATCACTCCATTACTTGTCTGAAACTAGATATTATGGAATTAGGTGAACTGTGCTTTTAACAATGAACGATCACTGGAGATACATTTGCTGGATTAACGGCACATTCCCATCNAAATACGCCCTCCATGCACCTTTTATCGTAACATTCTCGTCCAACCTCTAAATTCGCTATTTCTTTGAAGACTTACATTTTTCTAAATACGTTAATTTTAGTGTTTTCTTTGCCACTTTTGCACTATTCTGGACCATCACTCCATTACTTGTCTGAAACTAGATATTATGGAATTAGGTGAACTGTGCTTTTAACAATGAACGATCACTGGAGATACATTTGCTGGATTAACGGCACATTCCCATCTGTGGTAAGTCTTGCAAACTAGAGCACTCAGTGAAAATTTCAGTATCATATCCAAGTTTCAATTTTTCTCCGAACAATGGCGACCTTAAGAAAAATCCGGTATTCTTTCCAATAACCATCGATAAACCAGCTTCACTCACGATGATAACACAGACATGGAGCCATAGGCACAAAGCCACTTCAGTTGCCGTGTTGGATCTGTTTGTGAGAATAATCTCGCCTGTAATTGCAAAAATTGTAGTAGGCCGATTAGGTTTTACTGTGTTCTTGCTTTTCTTCACCTCCACTTTTTATTATTGAGAATGCTCAAAAAGCTGTGCTGCTCTAAACAGATCATGAAGTAATATGATTATAGCGGATGGAGGCACCCTCCTTCCCCTTCCCCGAGCGCTCACCGTGTACAGTTGAAAGTGTGGCGTTCAAAGTCACAGTTGAGCTTCTGAGCGTGTACTCCTCACTTCGATGCGGAATACCCTTAAACCTTATTTATTCTTCATCAGCGCCAGGTCCCCGAAATGAATAGAAAAGGCGAGTGCCTAGCCATAGCTAACGAGCACGCGCCTTTCCCTGACCTCTGTGAGCTTCGCTTGTCTCCGGCGTCATGCTGAAGGGCCAGGTCACCTGAATCTTTTGCTGTGAGTAAGATCAGCTGTGGTTGATACTTTCTGTGCTGTCGATGGACGATGTTGGGGCTGCTCGATATGAAGCCTTTGTTGCGGCATTCTGCTTTCACTGCCAAACTCCTTTTAGCACTGATAAAGCAATCGTCAAAATACGCCAGAGTTCCTCTGATACTAATGTTGGCAGAGCCTACCGGGTAGACGCAGAGCACGATATGTCGATATGAGCGGTGGAAAAGTTAAACGCGAGTTCATATATGTGTGTGCGTGAAGTGTATTTTGCAATTTGGATTTGACCCTGGCAGGCTATTGAAACTGCTACTTCTCCGTCGTCACTGATGTTGTTGTCCCATAAGCTTCAGACTGTCCGTCACAATATGAATTCGGAGAACGGAGTCGACATTGAGTTTCGCGAGAACTTATCCACTGTCGCGAGTGATGCGGAAATTTTTTCCTAATCGGGGTAAAAAATTGGCTTTCATCAGGTCTTCCATATTTTCATTCATTTAGGCTGCTGGGAACCCACACGCAGGGGTGCGGTAAGTGAAGCCTGGATTATTAAATACTTGCTGTAGAAGAGAACTCTTACAATGTATCCGTTATCTTAGTACTGTCGCACTTATTTTTCAAACAGCTTCTGAGCAGATAGCAGCGATGGTTCGACTCAGCAGTAATCTCGTGGAAAAGTTCGACGCGTGTATGACATTTGTATTCTGTCTTGCCGTGGCCGCCACTTTCTGTATTGTCGATGGACGGTGTTGAGGCTGCTCGATACGAAGCTTTTATTGCGGCATGGGAAGGCAATGAAATAACATCAAACTAGAAAGATTATATAGGTCTCATAGGAATTCGAAATCTCCTCTATTTGATTTGTATTCCTTATAATTTGAGATAATATGACGAATGTTCAGGTAGGTGAATAATTCTTTTGTTTGAATGATTCATGGCGAAAGTAGCTTGAGAGCTGAATCACGATTCTGGGACAGAAAGACACCAAGTTCGGTCGCCTCTGTAGTGGTTTGTAGTTGCCATGCCTTCTAGGGGACTGTTTCAAAAGTTTTTAATACTGTCCGATAGTGGATCGCATTTATCTTTGGATTTCCAGGCTCTGACGAGGGTGGCAAAGCCGAGACGTAGGCCGAGTCAATCTGTTTGTCATATTGCATGCGGGTTCAAACACAAACGTCACAAAGATTACTCAAAACCAAGCCAAGATATCGGAAGTCAAACCTGGATGCTTTATCATCGCATGAATTTCATTTTGTTTTTCATGACTATCATGACCTATGTACTACAAGGACCGACCCGTATATTATTTCAAAAGATGTCACAAAAAAGCCTGAGAAAAGGACTCAACTTAGTGCAGTTGAACAAGGCTAGTCATATCAGCACAACATAACTTTACATTTTACATGCTGTTGGCATGTTACAAATTATATTATTAAACGAGAAAAAGCACACGATAAAACAGTAGAAAGTAAAAATGTAATTGTAACATAACTCTCACTTGATGACCACGTTGTCTTTCTTTATTTCCTTTTGATTCTCAATCAAAAGGTACTATATCAACAGTCTTTGCGCCTGACCATGAGATCCTATCTTCGTTCTAGAAAACGGCGCATGAAGTGGAAGGAAGCTTCGATTCATCAGCGAAATTAAGAGCAAGTCACACGTCTTACGGCCATCAGATCGCGCTAGAAATGCTGTCAACTGTTTCAATAAGCTATTCAATTATTCAATTAGCACTTATTTATTGCTGTTATACATTTATACAATATCAAGATTTGTTTTTTCAATGTACAAAAGACATGACAGATGCATTAAAGAAACGATCAGGAGCAGTGGTGGAGCGTATTATGAGAATTCCAACCTTTCGCAGTGTACTACTCAAAAGTATCACCAATCTTCACACCCGGTAGGCTTCTGAAATTGTGTTATTTCGCTAATAATATTTAACGATCTTGAGTTGACTTTCTCACGTAGTCGTGTTACAATGTAAGTAGCAAAGAATGTGTATAAAGCTGCATAAAAATTCATATTGAAATTTCAAACTCGTCTTAAGACTCACGAGCTCCCGTTCCAATTTGATGTCCATTTCGGCTGCCATAGTCCCTTCGAACCGTTACACCATCTCCTATTGCAACACCGGCTGGCTGCACTCCATCGCCGATCGAAATTTTGTGAAAGTTACCATTTATGGTAGGCTGTTGTGGAACAACGCCGCTCCCGATAGAGATGCCACCTCGATGTGCAGCACCTTTAACAAATGGTTCATGTTGGGGAACCCTGTGTTGGCGAGCACCATCACCAATAGATCGACGCATAATAGTGCCAACTTGTCCTATACTATTTCCCGCAAATCTCTTCTCGGTATGAACTCCATTCCCAAGAAGGGAATCACTTCGAGAGGCGCTGTTTGCAGCTGCGCTTCCAGATCCACGGACACCATCACCTATTTCCATCCTACCTTGACCAATATTTCCGCCGACTGAGGTTCCTTCTTCTAGACTGACTCCACTTCCAATTGAGGTGCCGTCTCGAACTCCAGCTCCTATCGAGTTTCCTCCTGCGCCAACACCACTGCCAATACCTCCGTCAATGCCAGAGGAAAGACCATTTGCACTAGCTCCATTCCCAATGCTTCGACCTGGAAAAAAAAAATGAAAATCAAACAATACTTTGTTCTGTTTAAGCAAGTGTGAAGGCCTCATACTTAGGGGCACAGTTCGCGATAATAACGGTTTCCGAGATTCCCAAATGATACAAATCTGCAACCTTCAAGTGTCCCAAATGGGGCGCCGTGGGGTCTAAAAACGGTCTAGACAGGGCGAATGAAGGTTCAAAGATCAGCTTCGTCTACGTTTACGCGTAAGGGCGGCCTAGCTTTACCACAGCGAAGATGTGAAAAAAGACATGATAAAAGTTCTAGCAACTTGTCGTGGCCCACAACGACAGTGTAAAGCGGCTTTGAGCGTTTTTGACTTACTCTATTGGCCTTTTATAAAATTGCGTTCGAAGTCTCGTCCAAATACCCCTAATACGTCCAATATAATACGATGGCAAACAATCATCTCTATCTATGTAGACTGGTTTCTATCTATGTAGACCATTATCCTTAGCGACCCTAAAATCCACTACCCCAAGAAAATCCTTACATTTTACCAACTACTTGAAGTTTCTCTTTCGCCTTGCTTTTCATCTTTGGAGAGTACCTCGAAAATATCGCGCATTGTGTCCCTAATACGAATGAAAATTCCATCTGTGCCCAGATTTATCCTTGAACAGCCACGGGTCTGAACACATTCAGATGATGGTTGGGGTGGAAGAACATGTAAGGTTGCCTTCCGTAAACGTCTCATGTGGTGCGCAGACATGAGTGAATTAGAAGTACAAACCTGCTGCATTTTGAACAATGAGAAGCAGGACCAACAGCATGCCAAACATCTTCCTTGTATTCTCTAAAATATGCTTTGTCGTCATAGTCGTTCTGTGTGAAACTGTTACTAGCCATACTGCCGATTGATTGACATCTTACAACAACAACAAATGAGAAATGGAGACGGTCTCAATGCATGGCGTGGAATTATATAAAAAAAAGTAGAAAAGAGAAATCCTCTGTCGCTGGTCATTCTTATCATCTGATGTGCAGTGGCGTTTTAATACACGTGGGTCTAATTTGTGGTGGGTAGTCCATGTGCAAGTCAAAACTCTCATATTTACAACTAAACGAGCCTACCAGCTCATCTTCTCCGAGACGATAGGAAGCAAGGTTTTCCTGGTTCAAAATCGGCCTTGGGCTCCCAGGATCTTGCGCGAGCACCATTTAACGCTACATCACCCCCGCCCTCTAAGCCGTGAAGCTCTTTAGTGACTACCGGATTTCTATGGAAATCGAATGAGTGTGTAGAAGCTTGTGAAGGCATTAGTATCAACTTGATACCATTTTCGCTTCCTCGATTCGTGGTCGATGTCTGACCTAAGTTTAGCGTATCTCGAGGGGAGGAAGAGTGGAGATTTGCGAGGTCAGAGAAACACCTCCTCTCTGAGATGAATGTAAGCTCTTCGACTATTCCGAATGGGATAGCGAACTGAGCCCGGTTGAAGCTTTTGAGCTCAAGACGCGAACAGTAATAGGGGTAAACCTTAATCGAAGGAACCCCAATTTCACAGTTTTCGGTAGAATCGCTCGGAAGAGACTATAATTCTCACTATCAGAGCCATGACAGAGTATGAGATGAAATAATATGGCCATTTGTTTTCCAGAGACAAAACATTTGTATATCGAAAGGAAAGTGTATGAAAGACTTGGTGGCGCAAGCCAAGGAAGCCAAGTACAATGCCATTTACTCATCGAAACAACATGGAACAGGCGCTGCACGTCGTTTGCGAATATGGGGAAGAACTCTTCCTTTAAACAGCTACAGTAGAGGCGTTGGCGGTGTAGATGGCCTCATCAGAAGTCAATCGACCATGAACATCAATTCGTACCATGGCCTGTCAACTAAATGGGACATGTGGCATCGGAAACCTTCAGCTCGAGTTGAGCTAGTTCAGTGTTGTGCATCAATATAAACGCTTCGTCGAGGTAGAGCCAAAAGCAATTTATGTATGACGATTGGCAAGAAGTCCGAGATTCCCTCTAGTCTGTATACAGTTAAAGGAGTTACAATCACCAATGTCACTTCTGTGAGAGACCTAGGTTTTCATTATACTGACACACTTGACTTTCCTGAACACATCAGAACCCGGTGTACCCTGGCCTTAGTGCGTACACTGCACATCTTCAAGGGGTTGTCTTCCACCAATAAGTCCATACTTCTCAAAGCTTATAAAACATACATTCGGCCCTTGGTTGAGAGTGGTGCTGCTGTGTTCAACCCATCTAGGAGAAGGGATGTTGAAGCACTTGAGAAGGTGCAAAACAATTTTACGCGTAAAATCCTTTGCCGATGTAGGAGTTTTTTCTACTCTAGAATTCCTAAAGCTTCTATTCACAACAAATACTTTGAACTCTCTACTTTGGAATCACGGCGCAAAGTATTCGACGTATGTATGGTTTACAAGCTATTGTACCATAGTAATAAATTTGGTTCTTTTGATTTTTATAATATGGTTCACTCCAGAACCAGAGGAGGTCAGACCAAAATAAATCTCCCTAGGCCCAGAACCAGTATAAGAGCCGGGAGTTTCACATTCAGAGCGGCTAGCCTTTACAAAAAGGTAACAAAAAACATGATCGCTCCGGATTCCTTAACTAAGTTCAAACGCTCTGTGAAAGTAATTTTATCCAAGTGTGAGCTTTCATAGTTCCTTGCGGTTGACCAATTTCTTCTTCTTCACCTTTGTTTTATATCTAACCTAGGTGTCACTTGCCTTATTTTATGTGGTTTCTTTATACGTGTACGTTTTATCTACGTGTGTTCCTTGTATTTGCTCCATTATTTAACTTAGTTCCAGAAGGTTGATATCATTTTATACTACGTTTGCCTTAGCAGCGTAATAAACATAACATAACATGTAGAACTAGAGAAGCTTCACTATTGGACAACTTTACTTATACAATCAGAGCCGGCGCTTACAAAGATAAGACTGGTCTCGGAAAAGCCTGGAATCGGGCTTACTTAACAGAATACAGCGTCACACTCAGTCACACTTGAAAAAAGATGAATCGAGTTAATTTGACTTTTACTCGGGTTTCTTTAGCTAAGTCTTATGCCTAACTATTACTTTACGAGAGAGGAATGATGTCACCCCTCAGTTCTCCCTTCCGAAAAAAGCAATGTATTTTACCCTTAGAATCGTATATACAGCATCCAATTACGAGAGAGTAAGAATGAAACATGTGAAAAGCCCTTCTCAAGCTAGAAGTCTTCGCCTCAATCTTCATGCCTTACTTCAATGCCCTGATGCAGTAGTGAACCATTTCGGGGGAATGTAATAATCCGTGTGCTGCTTTGAACCCTTCCATCTTTTCTAAACCGATTATCCGAAAATGCCTAAAAGGAATGGCAGGGAAAAAAGGCTGGAAGCCAGTCGGAAGAGCAACGAGGAGGCCTTGGACAAGAATGGCCATTCTTTTTAGACTAGGTGCTTCTTCACAGTAAAAGAAAAGGATCACACGATTTACCACCTTCTCCTTTGCTCTTCCGGTTGGTTTGAAGTTTTTTCCCCGCCATTCCTTCTAAACGACTTTTGGATAAATGATTAGAAAACATAGAAGAGTTCAAAGCAGCACACGGATACTACATTCTCCCGAAACGGCTCCCTATTGCATCGTGGAATTGAAGTAATGCGTGAAGATTGAGGCGAATCTTCTACAAGTAGGGGAGTGAGCATGCTGTCACCCAAAAGGAAAGAAAATATTAAGTGTCCCGATTAACACAAGTGGAAGGGCTTAGGGACCCAAACTCCCTCGATGAACAAAGATCATAGATGCTCCCGCACACGCCAGGTAATCGTAGAGTGAGAAATGTGCCGTGAGATCATTGTGGTAGTTGGAACGGAGCAGTTACCGATTGTTTCTTAAACACATCAATCGAACACAAGGAATGCCACAGGCATGAGATAAATCTCGTGGTGACAAAGGTGAAAAGGATGAACGCATGATGAAGAAAGAATGCGGTGATAGTAGTCCATGAAGGCAGCCAGCTGTGTTCTACAGTGTTTTAGGGTTTCTCTTCCGAATTTCACGTTTAGTAGCTCTACATGTACTAGCTTCAGACCTATTTTAACACGAGCATTTTTCTTTCATGGTCTTGACGAAGTTGATTACATCGACACATTCACAATGAAAATTGACCTTGCCTGTGAAGATCGCTTTTCATCTGTCGGGTTGCCTGTTTCAGAACTACCTAGCAGAATAGATTATAGATCCTTAAATCAGATTTTCAAACCAGTGAATGAGCCGGTACGTTGCATAAGAAGCCAAGAACCCCTTATGGTGAGTGCAGCGCATTTCACAGTGGTTCATAACACACAACATCATATCGTTCTTCATCGCGGTGGTATGGAAAGTCAAAAGGTATCAGTAGCAAAATTGCCTGGGTTAACAACTAGTCTCTCTTAAGGCACAGTTCACGAAGAAAATGGTTCCTGAGGTTTTTCCCTGATGGACCTATGACGTCGAAGGATAGCAGAAGGGACGCTGGCGCGTCGAAAGGCGGTTTAAATATGACGTAAAAGAGCCCAAAAAGCAGCCTTGCCGGCGTGCACCTCCAGTTTCGGACGGGTCATCACGGCGTTGTAAAGGCTACGGCATTCGCAAAGGGACGCACGCTCTGCAACCAGGCAGCTTACCAGAGCAAACTGTATGCAATGGCTCCCCTATTTGGAAAGCTCGTCCAAATCATCTTCATACAACTTTTATCGACACGTTCTCGTCGAATCCCTGATTCTGCTGTTTCTTCAAAGCCTAGTATTTCTCAGGGACTCAGATTTTCGTATCTTCTTCGCAAATTTTGTATTGTTGTGGACTATCACTTCCTCTATTTGTCTAAAATTAAATGCGCCGAAATTATCGTGAGCTATGCCTTCACTGCTAGAGTAATCAAGCGTATGAGGATGCTCTCCCTCATCCCACTGTTTGAATGTATCCTACTGCAGTCCATTGGCGATACGGTATCTGGGCACTACCCAATACATTTGCATTTCGCACTCCAGCTTTATTTACTATCGTCGCTTACATGTGATAAGCCTTCGAACATGTAAAGTCCACTGGTCAACAGAAAAAAAGTTAGTACCCTAACCTTTTATACAGCAAAAATTTAAACGTTTTTAATTCATCAGATGAATACCCCCAACCCCCCCCCCCCCCCCCCCCCCTCTTCCAGTGAATTAATCTTTCATTGAGCGACTTTTGGTTTGCTGCTTTTACAAGTAATCAGTTATTCTGAATCCTTCTGTACTATGGCTCTTTGAGTCCAATAATCACTTACCTGACAAAAAACAAAAATCGAAAGCTAGGTGTCAAGTCGACGTTATAAAGAATCTGCGATTTTCGCAAATACACACTCGTTTCAATTTCACGAAACAAACAAATTTTGAGGTGAAAAAGAGTCGACACGTTGGAAGGAAGATGCCCAGGTGATGTGTCTAGTTCCAAGATCTAAGCAACTGTATTGGTTTGAAAACGAATTTTTATAAAAAGGAAAGGAGTATGCCAAACGACAAAAGTATGCCCGAGTGACGAAAAATCTTAGAACTGACGAGGATATAGCGGTCGAGGAAATCTATAACTCTAAAATTAAGAGAGCGAAATAGTGATAATTTTTCGAATGCTAACCCTTCGAGGCAAGGAAGAGGACACATGCATCATTGCATTGAGGCAGGAAGAACCAAAGAATGAGAGCGAGGAGGTCACGTGTGGCATTACTACATGGCTGCTGCTGGGCAATGATTCATATGTCGATCGAAGCCTCGGGGATGTGTTCTGTCCGTTCAGGTGT